CCCAGGTGCCAAATAAAGTTTTACAGCTAGAGTGAACCGCCGTGTGCACCCCACCCCAGCCCTGTTAACTAATGGGAACTGCACCATGTTTGCTGTTCCCGAACAACTTTGCTTCCAGAAAGGGGGAAAGATGCCACTTCCGGGGCATCTCTTGCCTTTGATCGATGACCTCAGCATGTCGTTCATCAAGGGGCCGAGTCTCGCAGACCGAGGGGAGCAGACCAGGGTGGCACGGCCACTGTCCTGGACACGGTGACACCCCCACCCCCCGCCAGTCCCCTCTCTGCCCCGGTCCCAATCAGCACACAGGCGCTGCAAACCCACCGAGCCTTGTTCGGGGCCTTGGACAGCTCTTGACAGAACGGCGGGCACTGACCCCATCGTGGGATTCCCAGAACGGGGGGCGCTGACCCAGAACCTGTGGGTGGGAAAGGGGTCTCTGACCCTCTCTCCTCAGAGGCCTGAGCTGGGAGCCCTGCCAGAGAAAAGCAGGGGGCTTCTATTCCATTCTCACCTCACCCAGTGCCAGGAAGGACAGAAGGTAACTTACAGGGATGCATGTAAGGAGACAAGGTGAATCCAAAGCAGGAGAGGGACAGATGAGTGTAGGAGCAGAAAATGGCACAGGCACTGCTGCCTCCCTGAAACCAGATCTAGAAAGTTCCGTATGTATGTTACAGGTGGGTCACAGATTTGCCTCCAGGCTTGGCAGTGCCTCTGACCATGGCCTCCCATTGGAATTGCCCGGGGAGCCTCAGAAAAATACTAACACCTGGGTCCCATCCCGAGAGATTTCGATCTAACTGATCTGGTGTATCTAACCTGGATATCAGAATTTTTAAAAATGTCCCCAGGTGATTTGAATATGCAGCCAGAGCTGAGAGCCACTGTTGTGACTTGGAAGAGGCAAACAAGAAGCTGATGTTACAACAGGATTCGATATGAGCTACTATGACAAGGCTGGGGAGAAGAATATGTCTGTGCTGAAATCAGGGGCACTTCTCCCAAGGAGCCCAGCAGTGGGGTCACAGGGGTAGGGTAAATATTAACCACCACAAAATCCTGAATGTGAGCACATCGGTACGATTGATGGAAGATCTAACAGCCCGTAGAGTTCATGGGAAAGCATTCTGGGGGTGGGGTGAGATGAATGGGGTTGACAGCATGACGACCAAAGTACCCAGGCTTTCAGATGGTGAGATCCAAGGATAGATTAGATTTTAGAATATCTGAAAGAGTAAATAAATGACCTATCATCCAGGAATGTCATTTTGCTGAATCTCCATAACTTCCATGTCAATTCAAGGCTTAGAGTCCAGGAATTTGGTAACACCTGTGAGTTTAGAGCAGTGTTAAGGCTTTAAAGTACACCGACGCCTATCCTCACAAGAACAGTTAAATTAGAAGGTCTGGGGGTACGACCAGGCGTCTGTAGGTTTTAAAGCTCTCCGGGTGATTCCAGCGTTCACCGAGAGCTGACATTGCTGGCCCAGGAAAACCTGCCAGTGTTTTCCCGGGAACTAGGAAGGTCAGGGGTTGCCCTCAGCGAAAGCAGACGAGATGGGGACTCAGCAGCCCTACGGGGCTCGCGCAGAGTTAGCGCGGAGTTGGGACAAGAGCCCAGTGGCTGCCTCCCTGTCCGGGGACCTGTCCATCCACTGCCTGTGAGGTCACTCTGTCCTGTGGCCCTGTGATCTTGGAACTAAGATCATCTGATCTCATGATGTGGAGACAAGAGGACAGTCCCTGTCTTTAAGGAGCTCATGGTCCAGGAAGGAAGGTGAGCAGTGCAGCCCAGGGCGGGGCGAGTGGCAAGGTCCCCAAAGGCTGCAGAGCATGAGGCGCTTTATTTGGCCAGGCCAAGTCTGGGATGCAAATCAGACAGGTCGTGACTGATTCTCAGGACTCTGGAGAGGCAGTCGAGACCTTAGGACAGAATGAAGCCCCGGGGACAGGTGAAGCAGAGGGAGCAGAGGGGCCGCTGAGAGAAAGGAAAGCAGAGGAATATCTTCTAGCACCAACACCTTCACTTACAGAGAGGAGGACGAAGAGGGGCCACAAAGAGGGAGTGACACGGCCCACCAAGCCAAGGGAGAGAGGGAGAGGCTCACGGTCTCCTTGAAGCAAGCAGGGAGGTCACTGGCTGACCCTCAGGTGGACAGGGCAGGCAGAAGTCTTGGCGATGATGGGAAAGGCGGGACTCTGCGGAAGGATCTGTGCACGCATGTTGGCGTGGTTCTACGGCCTCCTCAGCGGGCTGAGTGCCCAGATGCCCAGTGGAGGTGGGGGCTGCCAAGGTACCCAGGGCGGGGCCGGGAGAGGAAGCAAGGACGAAGGACAAGCAGGTGACAGAGTGGATGTGTTGGGGAAGGCAGCACTGAGAAGTCTGCCCATAGGTCTGTCTTTGGGTGGGAGCCATGGAAGCCAAAGAGATGGATGAGAAAGAGAAGGAGGAGGGAATGGAACAAGGCTGCTGAGAGTGAGGGAGCACGGGGAGGGGGAATGCGGGGAGCACGGGGAGGGGGCGTGCGGGTCGGCAAGGGCACCTTCGGAATGGCTTTGCTGGTGAAGCTGCCAAGTGTGGAAGTCCAGGGCACGGCAAGGTTGTGTTATTATTTGCAGCGTTCTCTAATAGAAGGGTTCCAAGTCCCATTAGCTCTGGAGGCATCTGTAATGTCCTCTCAGGATGCAGGGCATGCAGGGGGACAAGGGGCCTGGGTGGGCAGTGCTGGGGCAGGGATGGAGGCGGGGGAGGCTGCAGGGGGGCACTCCTCAGCACTGATGGGGACCCGTGTTTGCCTTTCACCACCTCCAAAGTCTAGGTGTCTATTACTGTCATTCTTGGCTCAGCCTTGGGTTCTGCACAAACCAGGTCCTCAGCTCTACCTCCCCTGAGCTCCACCCCTGCCAGGCTCCCACACTGCAGTGCAGGAATCAGGTTTCACTCCTGCTAACTGGTCCTGGCACCACACTCTCCGTCACTGAGAAGCCCAGTGCAGCCTTCCCTGCTTTGCATCCGAGCAGGCCCCACTTTACAGCAGGATGCACATAGCCCAGTGATCTGGCCCAGTTTCCATAGGAAAGTGATAGCTTCTTCCACTGGTCACCAGGGGACAGACTGGGCTGTGGAGACTTCCTTTCTTCTTGGGAATCAATGGAGGGAAAACACGACCTGGCAGCAGGCCACGTGCTACGGTGTTCCCAGGAATAGTTGCAACCGTTGTGTGTGGGGAGGTGCTCCCTGAGAGCCCTAGCAGGTGCTGTGCGGGTGTGGTGAAGGGGATATGGAGATGAATCAGATGGGATTCCCATCCCCCAGAACTGACCAGGTGGTAGGGAAGACTGACGTGAGTTCGCAGCGGGGACACCAGTCCAGGGGTGGATCTATCAGGTATCCTATCAAAGTCCCTCCCTATCCTAAAATATATGCTTCTTGAAGCCTGGGATAAATAAGAGCCATGTGCTACCCTGTGTCAGAAGATCCCTAAAGGCTGTCAAACCCATTCCCCTGGGTCTCTAGATGTCCTTCACCCCCGCCACACTCATAGCGTCTAAGACTGGAGGGCTTCTCCTTGGAAAGCTGACTTCTGTGAAGAACATGCCTTAGGCTCAGACATTCACCTCCACATCTGCCCCCTCTAGGAGCTGGGAATGCTACCATCACGAGATCCAAAAGGCCGCTGTCACCAGATCTGTCTAGTTTTCCGATTCCCTTCCTCTCGCCCAACAGTCACAGAAGCAAACATTACCCAGGGGCCGCGGATGACTAACCAGGATGGCTGTCCCGCGGCTCAGTGGTGCCATTAGATGCGTGCCAACAGCCCACCAGCTCCCAAGGCTGGAAACCCAACTGCCCCTCCTGGCTGTCGCCACTGGCCTGCTCAGTGGGCAGGCTGGATGCCCAGTGAATGTTTCTTCCAGTTGGGCAGCTGATCCAGGCCCAGCCTGGAGCCTCCGCCTACTTCTTGCTGACAATCAAGACTACCCGCAATTCGGAATCCTAGAGCTGCAGAATCCTGGGGAGCATCCATCTCCAGGCTCCCCTACTTCTAGAGGCACAGTCCAGGTCTGCTGGGTGGGTGTTCAAGCAATCTTACCAATTCTTTTCAACAGATTTCTGCCTTTACAAGTAGGCCACGTTCCCCCTCAACTCTCCTGGCTACCTGGTCTTTATAATCTAGGTTTGAAAATCCTGAACCAAAATTTGAGGCCAGACCTCTATACATTTAATCCAAGGAAATAATCAAATCACTATGCAAAGATATATATGCAAAAATGTTTGTTGTGTTATTATTTGCAGGAGTGAAATTTAAAAATATGCTAATGTCCACCATTAGGGCACTGGGTAAGTAAATTGTGTAGATTATTATATCCAGATGTTATGGAGAGTTTAAAGATGCTATAGATTTGTACTTACTGATATAAAAAATGTGACATATCGTGAAGTCAAAAGAAAGCATTGCTAAGCCATACATACAGTGTGATCCCGTGTGTGTGCGTGTGTGCGTGTGTGCACATATTCATGTACACTTTACGTATGTGCATAGAAAGTCTGGAAAGGGACACTAAATGGATGATTGTAAGTAATTTCTATAATTTTAGGTACTATCTTTTAAAATATTTTTACAATGAACAAATAGCCTTTTACTGATATTGAATACTACTACTTTAATAACAAGAAAAGTTAAATTACCAAAGACTCATTACAGTTTTTGAGGCGCTTAAAGGTCACCTGGCAGCTGGCCGCCCCCAGGTCCCCCCTCCTGGGGAACCAGAAGAGCTACCACAATGCTCATAGATTAATTCCAGGAAGATTGGGGTCCGGTGGCTTTGCTAGGTTCTAATCCCACATCTGTGTAAAAATCTCCCTAACCAAAAGGCGGAGAGGATCAGCTATGTACTTCCTCACTGCCCCTGGAAAATCAGTGTTAGAGAAGATAGCTCTCAGTGCCCAGGTCAGATGCTTTTCTTATATGCAGGAGAGCTGAGCAGAGACGTACCTTTCGATGTCCGTCTCTGGCGAGCTCAGGATTTGTCCCCAGGATGCAAAAACCTCGATGGCCACCAACACTTAGCACAGTGTGAGCATCACCAGGAGGCCAGACCGTCTAGAAAGAGAAGGAAAAGGTTGGGGGTGGGGTGGGAAAAGGTATCAACTTCTGCAGAAAATCTCTTTGGAATGCCAGTATCTTAGACAGTACCCACCCTAAGTGGATGATTGTCCCTGTGTTGAATTTCTGAGTGTGGACCCTTTCAAATGGGGTGTGCCCAAACGCTGCCATAGGCACTCTCAGGCAAGGGGGGCCAAGTGGGCCACAGAGAACCCCAAGGGGCAGACCCTAGATGTCCCTCCCCTGCCCGCCAAACACACAAAGCCCTAATCCCCACAGCACAGCCACAAGCAGTGGATAAGGGAGAATAATGGCATTGCCTTCCATCTGATTCAAACCAAGAGACTCCAAAGATGGGGAAAAATATGAAATTTAGGTCTTTAATCTAATGCTGAAAAGAGAACAGGACACAAACTCTAGAATTACAAAAACAAATCATTACTTCTTTTAGGTAATGGGCAAGAAGACCTTGAGGAGGCAAAGATGGGTTCCCTGGAGAGAATTCATTTTTTAAAAAAAAATATATAGATTTAATACCTAGTAGAAAGAGCCTATCTGTTATGGTGAGGCAGGGCTATTCCCAGTTCTCTCTTTCAAATGTAATATATGTGAAAACCGTCTTCACGACAAGGAATGGCAAAAATGCACGGCTGTCATTACCTGGGAATCAATATATTTTTCTAAACTGAATATATCATTATCAATTGATTTTCCTGTTTCCTCTTAGCACTCCAGAGTCCTGGATAGCAGGGGAAAGCTTTAATGCGATATGAGGGATTTGGACAGGTAAATAAGTTATTGTAAACTAATTCCACCTTGCGACAAGCTTCTCTGCAACAACGCAACGGGTCTTTCTCAGAGCCTCTTTCAACCCAAGCTTTTCCAGCTACCACTGACAGAGACACATGCGAGCCATATCAAATAGCTATTTTCAAGCTGAAGGTGGCAAAAATATTATTTTTCCCAAGGAGAGAGTGTTCCCTTTACGATTAAGAAATAACCTCTGTGGGGAAGCGAAGTAAGCCAAGGTTACCATTTAATTTTGACACAGAGCCAAAGTCGTGAGTACATTTCCTCTACCAAGCCGACGTGAAGCATGCGGATAAATCGATCGCTTTGGCCACAAAGTATCGACAGTACTGGTGATAATAAACGATCGATGTATTTCTGGGAAAGATCCTTGGCAGATATGTGTTGGTGAAGAGAGAGGTCTGGGAGACAGCGGTCAGACTGTTTTTAGATCCTTGAGAATTTTATTCATTCATTTACTCATTTATTCATTCCATAAATATTTGTTGAGTGTCTGCTGTGTGTCAGGCAATGTTCTAGGCACTGGGGATACATAAGTGAACCAAACAGAAAGAAAAATAGAATTCCTGCCCTAAGGGAGCTCATCTTCTAGTGAAGGGAAACATAGAATAAACAATAAGCTTAAGAAATAAGTACAAATTATACAGTATATTAAAAGGTAGGCAGTGCTATGTATTAGAGAAGACAGAGCAGCAGATGAGCGTCAGGGGACTGAGTTTACGTGAAGGGGATGAGGGAGTGGGCTGTGCGTGAATCTGGGGTTGAGTGTTCGGCAGTGAGAAGAGCCAGTGCAAATGTCCTGGGGGTGGAAGGAGCATACCTGTCATGTTCCTGGGCCAGCAAGGAGCCCGCTGTGGCTGGAGAATCTAGTAGGGACAGGGAGAGTCTAGTAGGACATTCAGCTGGAGAGGTGAGTAGATCGCGTAGGGCCTTGCACGCCACTGTAAAGCCTACTAACTGAGAGCCCAAGATCCTGGCCACTTGGCTTTAGATAGAGCTCTCATTCTCTTGAGACAGAACTCCCAGGTCTGTCAGCTTAATCTGCTTGCCATCCCTTCCACCCAGATGGCTCAGCGCTCTAGGCTGTGCGAGATGAACAGGGCGCAGGCCAGGCTGGGGCTTGGAGGGGCAGTGGAAGGAAGTGAGCCCCCAGGGCTGCCCAGCTTGTTCTGATGACAATGGTCTTGTCTTTCCTCCTCTGCGGTCCCCAGAGGCCACTTCTAGAAGAGGTAACTGAACCCAAGTCCTGAACAAAAATACACTGCATGCGAGGCTGAGCTCTTTGGGATTTTTCCCTAACGTGCTTATGGAGAGATCCTGACATGAGCTGACGCATTAGACATTACAGGTTGTGCTAGGTGTCTTGCCCACGTCTGCCTTCCATGCTTTTGTCCCCAGGGGGCTCACCTGATCTGCATGGAGGGCATCACTGGAGCTCGGAGACCCTGAGACTCCTGGTTATGTGCAGCCAGTGCAGACACCAGCAGGAGACTGGGGACTGGTGTGGGATTGGGTATATCCTCCCCTACTTGCCTCCCTCCTTACAGTGGCTTCACAGGCTGGCCGTAACCCTCCACTGCAGGCCATGGGTGCGGCTGGCATGCGGTAGGCCCCACAGAGCGTCCTCTCTGCGCCCCGGCTTCCATCTGGAAACTGCCCCACCCCGTTGTGGGCCGGGGACGGCCCTGGCGTGGTCTCTGCAGCCCACGCCTACATCTTATGAACAGCCCTGTCCGACTCTCTTCCAACCACACATTTCAACCTGCCGATTTCCTGTTAAGATCCTAGAGGGTACAGTCTTGGGGGCAGTGGAGAGCAGGGCTTGGGAATTAGGGATCAGGTGGAATCCTAACACTGCCCCTAGTTTTGTGACATGGGTTAAGGTATTTAATGTCTATGAACCTTCCTTTCTCACTCTTGGAACTAGAGAAACGGATGCATAATTAGCAGCAGCAGGATCACTGTCTCAGCATTTACACCACCTACTATACCGCCCAGGGCAAGGAGCACCTCCTGGCTGACATCTTTGCCCACCCCAACCAGAAACTCCTCCCTCGAGGGGTTTCTAGCTGTTCTCAGCTCCTATTTGGCATCGGTTGATGTCTCAGGGATTTCACTTATTTCCTCTTGCACTTCTATCCACCCAACCTCTACTCCTTGCAGTCAAATCCCAGGCATCCGAAGAACAGACATTATCTTAATATTTGAATCTCTGGCCCAGAGCACCCATCAAGAATGAACCCAAGAAACGACAGGGAGACAGGAATGGTTTTCCATCTCCAGGTGAGGCAAAGGCACTATAGGCAGGCTTGACTTTGACATTTGTGGTCAAACTGACCCTTTCTCTTCCACTCATTTCATCATCAAAGGGCAGCTTCCAGGGTCAAGGAAAATAAAATTAAAAAGCCAAGGGATGAGGGGCTTTTTACATTCATTTAAAAAACACAGTGGGTAGTTAGTCAATGCGTGTGAAAGAGGTCTTACATTGTCCCCACCTTGTCAAGGCACTTAAGACATGCTAACTGAGTTTGGCAGAGCATAAAAGGCCAATATGAAATTCCCTCCAATGGGGTCTTTGGGTTAAATAACTGCCGAAAGATGGGAGATCTTTAAAATTAAACCTAAAGAAATGTTTGAGACCATTCTCACTCTAAGTCTATAAATAAAGATGGCTCCTGACATGCACTAAATTGATAGCCAAGAGAATTACAAATAAGGGCCCCAGGATTTTTTTTTTTACTGCCCTATAAAAGATACCAATTTTTGGAGAGAAATTGCCCTTAAGAGAGGATAAACCAATTAGGGAGTCTCCCATTTGATGCAGGATCAGAGACTAGCCCTGCCCAGGTCTTGACCAGGCTACCCAATTATTGCTCCAGTGCCCAGGCAGCTCACCAGCCCTTACACAACTGGGAAGCAAGGATTCTTTCTTCCTCAGAAGGAAAAAGCAAAGCAACTAGAGGCTGCAAACTGTGGAAGAAAACCAACTCCCACACCCACACCCAATTTCCTGTCAGCCCAGACTCAGGACCCAGTGGCCCCCCCATGCCCCCCCCCTCCCCAGCACGGGGCTTGAGGGCCTGCTCTGAATGTATCCTGCAAGGGGAACTCTCATTCACATTAAGAAGAAGCAAAAAACAACCCATCCATTAATAACATCAACCATGGGTTCACCAAAGCCTGCAGGCATCTTGCCAACCCCCAAATAAACACTCTCAAAAGGTTTATCCATCAGGTTGGCGACAGTTCACCGGCTGAGGAGTCCGGAAGGCACTGCTTTTAAAGAAGAGAATGGACGCGCAGAGATGGAGTGCCTTGTGAGGACCCACCCAACACAAGGCGGAGGTTTCCTCTTTCCATTAAGGAGCCAGAACTGGCCACTGATGAGATCCATTACTTATTCTCAAAGCTAGGGATGCACCGGCTGGCCAGCTTTCATGCAGGCATGGGTTCTTCAGAGAAAGAGAAGATCTTCAGGGGCCAGGACTCCTTACTGAGATGGAATAATGAAATTTTCATAATGCTTGAAGTTCACAAAGCCTCGCTCATGTGCATCTCCTGATTTACCTTTGATCAGAAGTTTATATGAGTGGATTACTATTATTATTCCTATTTTATAGATGGAAAAACATGGCAGCTACATAAGCGAGGGAATCAGAATTGGAACTCTAGATCTGCACCTTGAATCCCATGCTTTGTTCCAAATTCTTCAGCTGCCACGACCCTGGGGCCCTGATGGATGATAATATTAGAACTGTCCTGGGTTCACTCTGCAGTCCCCACCCCTGCGCTAGATAAAAATACAGGTGTCAGTGGATATCCTCGTTCCAGTCTGGTCCCGGAGAGCCCAAACCAACCCTATGACCCGACTGGCCGCTGCCCCCCTCCCCCTCTCCCGCTTCTCCGCAGCCCTGGTAGTGGTCAGGTTCCCAAGTGACCCCCTCCCCTCCCACACCAGAGAAGCCACACACTGGCCCCCATGCCTACCATGAAACCTCTGTCAGCCCTAAGGCGGAGCCCTGTATTCTTCATTATTATTACCTTGGGGTTTCTCAAACTTTTTTTGTTATCACTCCCCCCAGCAAGAGAAAAATTCCATTCCATTCCATTTAAATTCTTTCTAACAAGTGACACTCAATTCTGAAAGGGTAAGACTTTGTTGGGGAGGGTGGCGCTGCTGAGGGGCA